TTCGGGTGACAAAACTGTCTCTTTAACACGGTTTATGACACCTACTGCACAGCTCTTGACCGTCCTTAGCTGCAGTGAGAACCATCCATGGTGAATGCACTCGACAAACAGACATAAATGCTCCCTTCGCAGGATTTAGGTGTAACCGCGCATTTTGAAATTGTTCCTTCTCATGGTGATTCGTTTATTTTTCCAAACATCGATTTACTTCAGTTTTTGGTAAATATTGTCCACAAAGTGAATAGAATCTATAGTGGCCCACTCCGTCGAGTTTAGCTTTGTTAGCCGGCCAGCAAATCAGGCTTCAATACCGGTGAGAAATACTGGCAAACAGGCGCCCGAAACATCCATTTGAATTAACCTGATCTTCCTTAATAGTAATTACAAGTAATGATTGGTCTTTGCTGTGTGACGACCCGGGCAAAGTGAAGCCTCAGTCATTCGATTTTATGAAGTCAACAAGTGCCCCCACACACCTGACTCTAAATATTTTTAAACACAACCGGCAAAAATTCTGTTTTGGCTCAAACGGCAGAGCGTTTGACTCAATGTGCAATTTAATAATTCTTTGTCGCAGGATTAGCTCAGTCCATAAACCTTCTGCGTTTTTTCAAAAAATCACTTGACTGCAGACCCCAGTGCATGCAAAAAGTGGTTTTCTGGTGTCCCTGTTTTAACATACAAATTTTATAATGGATATTTGTTCGAATTGGAATGCCTTGGGGAAGCATGTCTACTCCATTTTATCTAGAAGGAATTTACAAGAACCAAAAATAGCAGAACCAAAGCATGGTGCTTCAAGGTGGGATATATTGTAAAATGTAAATTAGGTTCTAACGTGCCTTAAACTGCGCACTGTTAGGTATGTTCGGCCAACCATCCACTGTCTTCTAAAATTTCCTGGATCATACATAATTTCCACTAAGTCATTTAGGCACCCCGCTTCTTGATCGTTTTAAAAATGTTTTCTAAAGTGGCGTTGACTTTTAAAACATTAACATGCTTCTACGTGCGTTAGAGGCAGTATGGAGTAACAGTACTGCCACAGACCAGATAAACCCCCTCGAACTTAAAAAACCAACGACGCACCCTCTTTGGGGAATAAAGTGCTGAGTGAGAAATGACTTATAGAACTTCCGTTGACCTGACAAAAATATGTTTTTTTGCTTGAAAGCATTCACATTAGTTTCCTAGGTATTTCCAATTTTAACGAAGACGCCGACGAAATAAGCGGGGTTTTTGTCACTCCCCGTTTGCTTATTAGGTAAGATAGTCATCCTTGTCCCGTGTCCCGAATAAGGACCCAGAAAGTCAGACTACTCCTGCACGTAGCGTCGTCCTCTGAACGGCAACCAGAGTAATTCGATGTCTAGTCGCACCATGATTTCTACTATGCACCAAGACCTCTTGACATATTTTATATAACCGACAAGGACGGCAGTTCTCCGTTAGTGGGAAAATGTCTTTGATGTCTAAGCAAGGAAGAAATGTGAGAATACTGTTGGTGAAGACAAGGAAGACTAATATGGTCAGTTTTGACTCATTTGTCAAAACCGGTCATCAAGGCAATCTGTATAATTTCTAGACTGGGGCTTCGAGACAAAATCAAGTCGGACATATTTCGTCCTGCCACCAGAAGAGATCGATGAAGGCCACTTCATCGTGTCTTTCAAGCAGGATGCGGCTGCAGGTGTCGATCACTACTCTTCAGGTGCTAAATGGACGCATGTGCTGAAGCAAAAAATAATCAATAAAGCGACTAGTTACTGACTTCCACTGTAAACACTCTGACGGAAAGTACCGGATGAAGCGAAAAAGTTTCCATCTGAGGTAATTGTCACAGCCAGCCGTAACTTATGGTATTGCTTGTACTATTCCAACATCAGTATCCATACAAGAGACAATTACATCATGGTTCCCGTTAGCATATGTGGTTCTGCATGTACGAACCGGTCGGCAATCTGAGTTGATTGCTTTCTAAGTTCGATATTGAACATCGTATTGAACACTCATTACTCACGCACGTCAACTGTTCTCATATTTCCGTTTTTGATGCTGAATTTTTTTGTCCACATTTTGGGGTCCCATTATGTGTCTCAAGGAAGGCATCATCGTGCCATAAATGCAACCTTACATCGAGGTTTCATAGTCGAGTGCATTGTGACATTGTTCGCCCCAAGTGATCTAGGTGAGTCCGTTGATGGCATCCACCAATAACATTGGGACTTATGCTATCTGTCTCGTCGCCAGGTGGTATCCATGGCTAATTTCTGTTTCGACACTCAATCTAGAGGACGCTGCAGAGTATCTAACAATCTTGATCCCCATTGGGGTGATAAAAAGTCGGTCGAGCCGGTGTTCTCATGTAAAGTGCGTATGGCACTGTTGCGTGGAAGTGGATGAACTCCAACTTATGCATTTTCGTCAGAAGACAGGGTGCTCTTAGTGAGGTGAAGGTGAGCAATTTTTTAACTTTGGTTTGCCTTCGAGAGGCTGCCAGTGGATTTTTTTCGTGACTTTGGATGATGGCACTCCGTCAGAATTTGTTCGTCCTCCAATCAGAAAGAAAATTAATGTTAGCCTGAGGATTTTGCCTAAAACATCAGACACCAACTTCTACAAAGATAACATAGGTAGGTTGGAATGGTTCGACAGAGATAAAGCGTGGGTCTAGATTACAAGCGTAGTGGAAACAAGCGGTTTCTTGTCGGAACGGATGGATTAAGTAAACGGAAAAAGCGTACTGTTGCACAATTACGAGGATAGCAGTATGTAAGATGAGACATTAGTTAATATACTCCCCTCCTCTTACTGAGCAACCCGCAAATATCGTTTTGCCTTCATAAACGCGTTTGTCACCCCACACAGTAATTTTAAAGAAAGACGAATGCATCTCTATGACCCCGATGTGGTTTTAAGTGTCTATTCTGAACCAGCACCCGTTCACACCTCGCTGTGACTCATCAGTGGGCCGCTTTCGATTGCAGTTTTGGTCAACAGAAGCGGTCAGCGTTGTTACGTCACACCGAAATAGGGGTCGAACATCTCCGGGCCACAGGACAGACTACGGGGTGCGGGGGATTACCAAGCCTGACTGGCCTCATGTGTTCTGTCTGATTGCCAATCGGGTCATCTCAATCTAGCCCCAAATAAACAGGGGAACGGAAGGGAAGGCGAGACATATTCTGACCAACCTATCGTCTCCTTAGCGAATTCGACCCACTTTGAAACTATTACGGCGCGATAACACTCTCAGTTTAGAGGTATACCGGCTGTGAGGAGAATTTGGTATTTGAGACGGCCAGCCGAGTTGTGTTGGCTTCTTAATGGCAACTCCCATCGATGTGATATCGTACTGAGTGAAGTTTGATTCACTTGCGGCCATTTTGCGCAAATGCATCTCCGGTTGATTCTAGCTAATTTTGTAACTGAAACGCGTTGGACAGGGGAGAGAGAGGTCGGCTCTGCACAGATCTTGCCAATCCTCGCCAAGTCTTTAAGGCCTCCCAGATGCATAAGTTATCCCCGTAGAGCCCTGAGGACAAACAAGAGCAATTAAAATTATGCCGGAAGAAGAAGAGTCCGGTTCGTTTCCTTCCTGGACGTGCTTCTGAGTAGAACGTCTGACGGCTGTAATCGACCTAGCGTCTATTGTGAGAGGACGTGGTCCTGGGAGCCTCGTACCACTAAATGTGAAAGGTAATTTGGTCCCCTGTTTGACACGAAGCGTGAAAATGATCGGCTCGGCTGATGGCATTGACAGAGAGCTAAAGCTTGTCAAAAGTCCTTTTTTGTCAGAATGGGTACCCTCATCGGTTCATTGTTAAGAACATGGCTAAAAGATCACCGAAGCCATCAATGCTGATCGCAGGAAAGAAAAAGGCTTTCCATCAGGACCCCATTTTAAGGAGAGGGATCGAGTTAACTTTTAAGAAGATGGTTAACTCGAGCTTTATCATGCACTTTTTCAGCAGATGACACCCGAGTACTCTCCTCAATTGGTCCCATCGTATACGAAGAGGGTATAGACAAACCCCTAGCCCAGACCATCTTTTTGTGCATTTACTCTTTCATCTACTCCTGTGGGGCAGAATATATTGGTTGCACTAGTCAGCATTTTCCCAAAAGTATGAGAGAACATCTTCCAGCAGGGTCAAGAAAGGGTCAAATAAAGAACATTAACAGCTCTATCCTCACACACATGATAGACGCAGACCACCGTATAGATGTCAGAGAGGCTTCCGAGTGATTTACAGGGTTCCGTCAAGCTACCAAAAAAAACTTGACCAGCATCTGTTGGCTACATGCAGGGCGGCTGCAATTAGACTACGCCAACCGGTTCTATACGAACAGAAGAACTTCATACAGAGCCCGCAGTTGCCATGGGCTACAGCCACCAAGTCAGCTACCATTCCCTGGTGTTCCACTTTTTCCCCTCCCAAACCAGAGGTAGAAAATAATTATCTACTCACCCGCATATTTTCATTCATTTTAATTGCAATATAAATCCACAGGCCTGAGGAGAATTTATCGGAGGCAGACATGTACTCACCAAACTGTATTTTAAAAGACAGTTCCTGTCGGGAATATGCGCTTGCGTAATTAATTAACCAGAAAAATGACACTTGGCTAGCGTAACTGCGCCTCTGATATAAGGATCGGCCTACAATTAAAGTCACTTCAGGCATAAAAACGGAGTGGGCAGGAGGATATTAACCATTTATTTCTTGGATTATAAACTGCAATTGAAGTGCCACCTGTCCAGCGGCTTGAGAAAATACGATTGCAAAAAAGGTGTCAAACATGCATTTGAGTGGCCTTTTCTTCCAAATAAAGTACGAAGGCGGTTAAAAAAGGATCCACCTTTGTAGGGCCTCAGGGAATACTGTCTAACAGAAAATGTGCACAAAACCTCGTATAAATTTTTTCGTGATCGCGCCAGTTACAGCGTATCGCAAACGATGTACGGCTTTTGCACATTTCCCGTCAAGTAGTATTACCTAGACCGGATAATTTGTTTCGTTGTCAGAATAATTAGAAAGAGGGCAAGGTGGACTCACAAGGCTATGCAGTCCTGGCCTCTCATGACACCACTGGCAATCGATTGTATGAGGTTTATATGTGCGTCGCCATTCGATGGATTTGCGAATCATCTTCTGTGCCTCGTCAATATTTCCGTTGCGTGCCTTGAGGTAACGCCAGAGCCTGGGGGCGAGGAAAGTGGACACAGGAAAAAAAGAGGGCTCTTAAGGCAAAACCAATTCCTTTTTTCCCTGCAACTAATGAAGGCACTCCTGGGTGGCGCTACAAAGTGCTGTTTTTGCCAGGCACTCAGAGCGAGAAAGGGGACACCAATTCGACGCCAAGATGTTATTACCGGTCAGAAGGGAGATGCCATTATCTGGGCAGGCATACCTCTGTCCGTAGACGCCTAGGCGGAAATCTCGCTTAAAATCTGCCTGTCTGCAACTAGATTCCATAAACTGCTGCCTCTCTAGCTGCGGGATCTCTGTGATCTCTGGAGAGGAAGCCTAGAAATTTTCCACCCGGAACTGTGTTTACATCTCAGATAAAAGAGCGCTGGTGGTTTTTATTCCAAGAGGACTTTTTATGTAGGGGTAAAAGGGAATCTGCTAGAAATTGCCCTTCGCGAAGAATGTACAGTGAAACTACGGATAACATGTAATTAAGCATAAAAGAGAAAGATTATCGGGAGACGGGCTCACATCACTGACCCTTATCATTACACCTACTGAATATTCAAAAAGTTTTGGCCGATTTTGATGAGTGCGAAGGACTTATGTATAGTTTGTTTTAATACGGTCGATTATAACGCGCCAGCTGCAAGGGGCCGATGCGACAGATTTGTCAGTTAAGCCCTCCAAGGCAAAATCGTGAATTTTGGCGGGATAAGACAGGGGAATATGAGGCCTTCGGCTTTGTGCAAAAACTCCCCCTTCCTAACCCTAATCATCCTGGAAATTAGCGCAGGAGTGATAACATTCTCATGCCCTGGATTCGACGGTTCTCGAAGCAGATGCTTGCCAGCTGTGCGCAGTGAGTCACCTGAGAGCTCAATTTAGACTGTTGTCATTTAAGACAACACAGAGTCTTGTTAAAATGGTCTTCTTTTATGAAGCGTTTGAAGAGTTTCAAGGGGCAAAACCTATTACTTTCATTCCAAGCGAAAGTGACATTTGATGAGATAAAAACTAACATGAAATAAGAACAGAAAAGCACAGAACGAAGAGTACTGGCTGCCGTTTTGTTTGGAGAGAAGAATTAGGGAGGGGTAACCTCTTCTTAACCCTAACACTACTGGAGTTTAGCGCAAGGCCACCTGTAATACGGGGAGGAGTTCAAGTCCCCGTGCTCTGCCGTCTTTGAAGAACTAACTTGTGAAGAAGCATGATATGTGAAAACATCCAAGTTTGCCGGGTATGGTTGTTAGGGGGGGGGAGGTATTGCATGCCACTGACTTAATTGTCAACACCGTTTTTTATAGTTCGTGGCGCCGCCCTACGAAGGCGGTGCGTACAAAACTCTGATTTCCTCGCCCGCATTACCACAGCCGCCGTGTTGACGCGCTTTAGAATGCCCGAGTCGCCGGCCGTTAACTGCGCCCTGTGGGCATTTTTCGGCTGATCTTCGAGGCTCCGTCCTTCACCTTTCAGTATGTTTTATCAAACGCAATGCCTCTTGTCGCCACGAGCACGGAACCCATTTGCATTCACAGCCACATGTAAACTTGGAAGCATAGGTTGCAGGTATGTGCGGGCACCACTGTGTGGTTCCTCGAACTAAAATTAGGCAATAGTGCAGGTATGTAAGCATCTGTTTTCTTGTGATCAGCACACCATTGCTCTCGCAGTCTTGTGCGCGATGGCAGTCCTCTGGCACCTGGTCCCCGCTAAGTACACAGATCGGAGGCATGGCTTCCCAGTCATCCTCCTCCCTCTGACCCCCTGTGGTGCAGTTGCTCGTTAATGTCCTGGTCAAATGTTTGTTGGGGACCAGACGTGTGCTGATACGCCAAGGTGCAGGTCCGACCGCGCCATCCGCCTACACCTTCCCTAACCTACAGTCTTCTTGACACCGGGCCCTGGTGCGGAGGGGGAAGAAGTGGGGCAGATGTTGCACAAGTCCGCTCTCACTACAAACTAATTCAAGCGAATTTCGCCATACCTGCTTCACCTTGCTCTGGAGCACGCGGTGATAATCGTCGGGTACGACCGGCAAACTGTCAATTTTGTTTGAGCTGGCTGTCTGTCACTTCCAGCAATACTACAGTCAGGGACAAACGACGCTCCAATGGGCGTTCAACGACCTCAGTTAAACAAGGGTCCATGGCAGGGTATTAAGTCAAGACACATTTTATTTTCTGCACATCCGGGGTCTCGATAGCAAGTGGTAAACATTTAAAGCATTTTTCGCTGCGCAAATTGTATCCTATGGAACTTCTAAGGCGTAAGGAAACTTTTGCAGTAACAAATCGGACTCCGCATGATTCTGTAGCAATAGCTCAAATGAAAACATCTTCTAAGCAAACAGGCAGCATCTGTCCCACTGTCATCGGCTTGGACTAGCTCAGTTGCGCCTCTTTCTTTTGAATTCGTTTAATTCTAATTATTTTCTCAACAACGTTCAGCTGCTCTCAGACAACATCTGTATTAACACGTCATATTAACATATCGCTTATGGGGCCAAAGGTGTCTAAGACTTGACGTGCAATAAGAATCCCTCCCATCTCTAAGAAGTTTATTAATTTTGGTCGTAAATTCTTCCATCGACTTGAGTGCTCCTTTGCAATTGTGAATTTTGTTTAAAGAGTTACCTTAGATGCCATTATTATATTCATCACCATTTCCTCCGATCCTTTGCGATTTGCATTAAAAGTCGAGCGTAGTATCTTGGATACTGTGGTTCTTGTGGTTCACTCTGCTCTAAGAGAGCTGGAAAATAATTGCCGTACGTATGAAGTGAATTTTTCGACTAATACCCTGCCTTCAGCAAAACCCCACGCCCTCTCTTCTTCAAAAAACATCTACGTGCGGCTCTCCTGGTCGGAATGTTTCGTTGTTCAGGGATAGCTTTGCCTTTTGCGCTCAATTTTTCCAGTCTGCCAGGCGAAAATTGACTGTTCTTCCTGATAACGGCGAAGCTCCCAAGGTTCCATCTTGTCCCCTCATCTTATTTTATTTCACACTGACGACCTGAGATCGCCCAATGACAGTTTATACTGTTGATAACACGATTGCCGGTCGCCCTGCTAAAAATCAGACGTATATCCAGTTTCGAAGGATAGCTCGGACCATGTCATGGTTGTTGGGAAACGTCCTGTTGCCTAACGACCAGAAATCTGTTCAGTGTGTCTTTCACCTACGACCCACTCCCATTCCTGGACTCCTTGGCGTTCTTCCCAATGAAGTATCATCATTCCGGTATTCTGGTTTTATTTTGCCCTATAATCGTTCATTCTTTGTTTGTATTAAAACCTTTTTAATTGAAATTCGTCAATGTGTTTAGTGCATTCGCTGTTTAAGTTCTTCGTTATCCTAAATCGATCTTCTGGAGATTCGTACATGCTTACATCCTCCCCTTCATTGTTTACTTTTCTCCGATCGTTTTTCACATCCGACTTAAAAAATAAACTCTTTTTTGCATGTTTTCCGAATGACCTCTTTTGCTACCGGTGTTTCTTGTGTCTTTTTAGCTGATATCTTAATACGACGACATTTGACGGCGGTTAAGCACATTGCTCATCGCATTCTACAGGATCTTGTATATCCCTTCGCTCTGAAAAAATGGTTGCGAAGCCTTCCGTGCGTCGGGTCTTCCGACGTGTCTTTTACCGTACATCGGCATACTGGCGTCTGGTAATACCAACTCCAGTTTGATACTAAACATGCAAAGAGATAGAAATACAGAAATTGGGACTCGAACTGTCCCAATAGGGTTTTTGCAGTTTTTATGCAAACATATTAACTCTCTCATCTATAAATTTTCATTCTACCGCGCTAATGGAGGATGTTTTTGTTGAAAATTTTGAAATGCTGCCCACAAAATACAGCGCTTTTTTTTCTCTCTCAATCACTTGTTAGGTGGGCGCACTAACATAGGTTGGGTAGGTTCATAAATTACGATTTCTTACTCACATTGAATCGTCCTTTAGCAGATCCGATTCGCCTTCGGGAAGTTCAACATCGGCCAGTTTCTCTCGAAGAATATCTGTCGGTAACTGCACCATCTCGTTCCCGTTGGATTTACTTGTAACTACCTTCGGGTCCTAAATGAAATGAAAAAACCGTTTGCCATAGAATGTCGATTCTCAGCGTCCCAAAATTAAATCAGAAATGCCTACTTCTTACCTGGCAACCTTTACAATATATACGTATTTTCTGGAGTCATTAACATTCCCACTTTTCCTAATTAATCTGACATCATTTCTGTATCTACTGATGTAATTCCGATAGTACCAAAAGGGCCGTTCAATCGAAATATGGTAGAATTATATAAATCATCTGGCAATATCTTAAAAAACGTCATGAATACTGATTCCATCTATATGCAATGACCAAAGGAAATAGTTGAAAGCTTGTGTTTGAGTGAATTATAATTGCATGTTATATTAAATCCATCGTATCGAGTGTAAATGGATCATCTGACAAATTAGTAGGCGGTTATCAGTTGAATTAACCCTGGGGGTTGAGATAATCCGCCACCCGGGGACTTTTAAAAACCTTCCAAACCCTAAACATTATATGAATAAGAACAAGAGACCTAAGGAAATTGACCGTTTTTCATTTATTGGAGAATTGAGAAAGGTTTCCTCTCCACCAAGTAATTACTGTTACGACGCCAGTGAGCTACGTAAAGTCGAGATCACAATTCAAAATCCGAATAGAAATGGAGAATAGGCGCATGGTTGAATTTAAAAAGATTATTTTCAACGAATGTCCTCAGAAACCCGGCATTTCCAGGTCCAGTCTAAAGCGCAACAGGAAAGGGATGTCCTTAAATGATTGCATTTAATTAAGAGTTCGTACTTCCAATGAATTCACTGTTTCGCGTGTTCGCCATTTAAACGATAACGAGGGAAGATATTTCTGATTTACCTTCGCCTCGGTCACTCTTTACTAACTACAGATCTGCCGATCACAAGACACGGGTTATGCATCATAATAGAGCTTTATTGTTTTTTTGAAGGTCACATGGGTAAAAAGTGCATTAGCGACCCTCAATATTTTTAGGAGACAGCTGACGAACTGAAGGCAGTAGGCAGACATTAGCTTGCGAGCAAAGAAAACGAATCTTTATGATCTTGAAACGGCAAAACGTCGGGGAAAAGACGATGCGTCACCACCAAACAGGGAAGCTTACTCTTTCATCACCACTAGTTCTGGATACCCATGACACTGATTAGATCTAGTAATAGCTTTTCATGCAGTAATCAGTAGCCCCCATATTTAGGCAGAACAATTGTCAATGCACGTGAGAATGAGCTGGCTGAAGCAGATAGAGCAGATTTGAACTTGAGGTAGCAACTCAGATGCTAAAAGGACTTCAGGGGTTGTGTTATAATGATCGAAAATTAATTTTCCAACTTGAATGAGCTAATCTGAGGAGCGATAGGGAATAGCAACGAAGATAAACGAGACGGCGATGGCCATTTCTGGTATTTGAGCCTCAGTAAGATAACAATACTTCCAAGTTTCATGTTTAGTGTGTTCGGGCAAAAGCTCTCACAGATAGGGAACCCGCTGAGGCCTTTCGTTAGACGAATTCTCGCATAAATTTGCCTGCGCGATAGAGGCAAACGTTTACGGATCCCGAAGTGAAGCTAAGACCCCGAACAATGAAAAGTGCTTCCGTACAGATGATATCGGTTACGAATCCAGCTTTGTGCTGGCTGAATTTTGACGGTAGAAACGACAGGAAAGTGCCGTCCGTCTGCTCGTAAAAGCGTTGTCTGCAAAATGATTACAAGCTCTCTCCACTTATTAAGGAAAGCTCAGCACATTTGATCAGATAGTTTCGAATACTAGTTAGCACGAGATTCACCCTGACTTGACTAGCCATCTATCCCGGACAAAACGCCAATTCGGGACCACCATGGTCGGAAACGACGACAGGCCCACAGACCCTTTCAGCTGTGAATCTAGTATGGTGGAGCACTGTGGGTCCGTATACTAATGACGACCCACAGGCAGCATATGAATATTTTACGATTGTTCTGCAGCAAGTGACGGATTTCAGTCCAAATATTCATAACAACTTCGGAGACAATCCAAATAAACTAGGATTTACTCCATCTTTGCTCATAACATCTCGAGAAAATTAAAAAGGCCAGTAAGAAAGCTGGAGTTTACATAATAGTATGTACACGAGAGGTTGCTGGGGGACCTAGCCTCAGGATGCCTGGTGCTTCTCCTATGTCGAGGCCAGGACGGCGTAAACTATCGGACATTTGCACAGTGTGCAAGTCAAGCCACAGCCCATACATGTAAAGTCTTGAAATACGCTGAGCAGAGAATGAAAGTGATATAGGTCGCTTCGTGGGACTGCCGCATCAGACTATGAACGTACCAAATGAGCATAGCTCTTAGGGGGTCAAAACTGTGAGCCTACAATAGATTTAGTCGGGATTTAGAAACCGCTATTGCAAGACGATCATCGGAAAACCGCAGATCGGGAAAAGGCAGCCTGAATGCGTTACTCGCGACGATCAAGCATCTTGATGTAGGTCCGGTGGCACTTGTGGCCGCTTTTAGCAAACAGCCTCTGTGGCTCATTTCTGGGCTTGCGCGCGGGATATGACGGACAACTTTGCGGATCAAACCACCCACAGCAAACCAAGATCTGAATAAATCTGATCAGGGGCCGAAGGTCATCGCAGAAATTTCGATCACAAGTAGATTTATAGCTCGAAATTCCAGGGAAGGGCAGGCACTATGTTTCCTCCCACAGCCGATTTGGGAGTCCGTGATTGGAGGAGAATTATTGCAGGAAGGAAGTTTCACCGACTACCACGAACTAAGAAGAAACTGCTGCGGGGAAAGCATAAACTAGGTGTTCATAATTTTCCAGGGGCGCAAAAGGCCAAAGTCGGTGACATGAGTTGTCTTTGCGCGCGTGCATTCATCTCAGCAGTTTCGTAAGAGACTGCTCACTGCCTTCAGTTTTAACAGACCACGGTCGAAGTTAAGCTTCCTTGGTCACGTAGACCGAATTCTGCTAAGTCCCATAAAGGCCGTCTTCGTCAGTAGGCGCTTAAAGCGGACACGTCTAGCAGACGCAAGCGTGACAGCCGGATTACTTCGGTAGGCACGCATTCTTTCTGGGGGACGTAGGGTGGTTGCCACTAAACTTCCATGATTTTTTGATAAAAATTGGTGATCCTACCAAACACCAGCCGGATCTAAGTGCTAGGGAAAGCTAGTTTCCTGTCTTTTTGCCAACTTGTTGATCGATGTGCACAAGTGGTTGGTAAGGCACATCGCAGTCGGCTAGCGAATTGCTTCAGGACGATGGTGAAGGCTTAGCTCTATGACAGTACGCCTTCTAGCCCTTTGAGGTCAAAGTGTTGTCCGTTGACTGGTTGCTTGCATAGGCTTTATGACTGTCGATTTTGTCGCTGACCGTATAACTCCCGTCATGAATTGGAACTTGTGACCGATAAAGAGAAAATCTAAACTGAATTAATCAGGTCAACGACAGAGGCTTAGAGGCATGTCGGTAAATCTTCTAGTCTCAAATGATGTATAGTATGAGGGGACAAGGACAGCTCTAACAATAACAAAAAGCTAGACCGGTCCTATCATGCAGCAGCCGTCTCCAAACAACTAGTTAAGGAGTGTGTCATTGAAAGAGTTCCGTGACCGTTTACGCTTTTTATCAAATGGTCTTGGGAAAATTAGACGCAATAGAAAGTAGACTGCCAACGGAAGGGTTAGCTGCTCAAAAGTTCGAAAGACACGGAGGTTACGGAAACGGACGCAGAGCTGCAGAGGGGAGCTATACGTTACTCATGGAAAACACAAAAATATTTGGGTTGGTTCAAACCCTTCTTGAACTTACATTAACTGCCTGACATAAAGTACTCACTCCAGTTTTGAAATTTGAAAAAGTTAATAAAAAGGGTGATGCCGAGCCACTTATTCGAAGAGGGGTCAGTGCAACAAGGTGCCTTGACTGATAGTATTTAACTCATTTTAAGGGGTTTTCAATATAACATTATATGTTCAATATCCTCGTTCGAGTTATTATGAAGTAAAGCACAATAAGGCCTTTGTTTAACGACATTTCGAGAGAAAACTAGTCCAAATATGTAACAAATCCACAAGTACAGGACATAGGACTGGCCGGTCGTCTAAGCAAAGCCGCACAAAAGCCAGCCTCAAGAAGGCCTATATTTGGCTTTTCCTTGACACAACCTTACTGATTGTGTCCACCTAAAAACTGGTTACCTAACGGAATTCGCTATTTCTTAATGTTATCAGACGACTCTCAGCTAAATTCCGAAATTTCGTATTTTTAACACCAAACCACAACGAGACTTCGTTTGAAACATGAATTTTGCATCTTTTTGAAATCTATACTGTGAGTGCGCTATGCAAAAGGGCTTTATGCTGAAACTACAACGAAACATTACTATAGGTGAAATAGGATAGGCCAAATTATTCTTGATTGCATTGATAACAATCAGTGATTGCGTTAAGAGATCACTGAGCAGATTTGTAGCCAGACTCTGTGCAAACTGCGACTAAATTTGGCGTGTGCAGTCATCGGGCAGTAATTATGCTTAAATTAGTAATAATCGGCCAATAATCGGACAAAAACGCGAGCTCGAATCCAGAGGGATGTTCAAGAAAACCTAATGAAGCTTGAAATTCGCAAGATGGGATATGGGTATAAGAATGCTAGAGTTCGACGTATTTAAAAGTCTGCTCTCCTCCTAGAAAGTTAGCTGACAATGATGCATCTGGCGAACGACCGAGCAGTGCTTAATAAATGTCCGTCAGTCTGGCTGGTTAAAAGCTATCGAGAGAGCAGCTAAAGACCTAACATGGAGTACATGGTAGAAAGCGAATCATAGGCGGACGCCAACACTTGTTTCGTTGAACACCAGGTAGTCAGGGAAGAAATTAGCTCGGCGACATTCGAAATAATAACCTACGAATCGAGAACCTTGTACTCTGCATACAGAACAGTAACTGGCGGTCTCTACGTATAGTAGGGCCCACATTGAACCTGACGGGCGTCAACCTTTATGCTTATTTTTCACCTCCTTCCATTGCCACCATCTCAGACCCTATGCTGAGATTCCGCAAATATATAATAATTTCTACTTGGCCTGCGGACTATAACCCACGTGGGAGGGATATGAAAGCCATGATACATTGGGACTAAACGTTGTACACCAAATCGTGCCTATCCGCTTTCCCCTTTATAAAACAGCACCCCTAGCAAATTATGCGTTTGTCGGAGACGGCGGAATTTTGGAATTCGTCTCACATGAAACCACTAAATAGACATCTTTCTGTCTGTGATTGACCTCTTCGAAAGTTAGGAATCAATTGACGGATAGCTTAGAACCTCTTTAGCTAACAGGTTAAATCTCCAAAGAGGCATATCATCTGAGTAGTCAGAGGGGAAACAGGGGTTCCTAAGGTTCATTCGCAAACTTCACAGTTTGTGTTTTTCTGTAACTCTCGTAAGATGTCATCTTTAGCCTATGCACCATCCCACATATCAAATGTAACTTTGAGGAGTAGTCGCTATGCGAGCACTAAGTAGAAACAGGGCTTGTTAAAAAGGTGAAAATGTTCTGTCGATTTTCATAAGGCTTGTGTTTGGATAATGGATCCCCCGAACTGTGTACCGCAAGCTTTGACGTGGAAGCCCTTCCTTTCCCCGTATTTTGGATTATCTACAACCCACATGCCTTGTTTCGGTTTAAGTAAGACAAAGTCGGTCAGGTCTTCCCTTTTCACGGTTAATCTCGGTGCACTGACCAAAGTGCCCGCAGAGAATACTAACCTCTTTGTGTCAGCAAGCACTTTCTTTGAAAATAAAGTTTTGCGTTAGTGTATACCATATCGGCACAACTCTCCTTTCCAATTAAAAGGCAGCCTGATATAAGCAAAGATACGCGTTCCGGGAACTAGTTGATAAGAAGAGAAGCGATCGCTGGAACAAGAGCTTTATTCGCATCACGCTTCGGATTCGCGCTCAAACCCATCATCAGAGACAGTAACAGTAGCCAGCGTTCGTTACTATCTCTGATGATGAGCTCGATCGTGAATCCGAAACGTCAGACGAATAAAGCCCGTGTTTCAGAGATCGCTTCCGCTTCTTATCGAAAAGAAGTCTGCTGGGCAGTACAGCTGTTGACAAGGCACTTTAGTCAAAGTGACTCGGGTTCTCTGAACTACTTCAAATTCACATACTACATTCTGACTAATTGTTTCGCCCACTTGAAACTTAACATGAACCACAGCCTTTTGTGTATATCTGGTGGCAGCTGACTCAGATATCATCTGACAGCCTTATTCATATAAGCGTTTTTGATGTTTTTAGAGTGCACTCACACTCAGTTTGCTGAAGCAGTTGACTTTACCTTGTCCATCTATCGTGTCTTGGTTCTATTCTTTGAATGTGCCGGATGGAGCAGATTTGGGATAAGAGACTTAAATGTTCTTCTTAGAACTGGGACTGTCACAAATAACACAAAACTAACAGGCCGATTCATGGTAATTTAATCAAGAATCTGTTAAATGTATCAAAGACAGTTCCAAGGAATCGTCTGCGTGTAGTGTGCATGTGTCGTCGTAGTTTCCCCTAATAGATGCATAAACACATGCGACAAATGAATCAAATCTGCTTACGGCTCTTGCTGTCGTAGAATGGACCCCAGCTATCCACGTGGCAACTAGATCACTCCGTTAAAAGTGCGCCAAGGCTGTTTTGCCAGCTTGCGTTCTTTCAGTCTCATCCACCAATCACATTCGAGAAGAGTTAAGACGGATAAATCATTGGCTCGTGCGTAACTCAAAAATTTCTGTCGGCGCAAGCAGAATGTGGGGTTGAGCTCAGTTCACGTGGGTGCGCCCATGTGCGTGACGTGAATCACTGTTCACCGTAGACCTTTTGGGTCATTCATGTAAAAACTTCGGTGAATTGGTAGTTAATTGCGGTCAGTACATGATAACTTGGTGATGTGCATGTTGGAAGACAGGGCCCAATTATGAGGGTCAAGCCAGAGCAGTTCTTGTGAGGTCAAGTAATGCCCAAAGAAATTCGAACGCCTCCGTGGCGGCCACGTCCTTCACGAAACCTTAAAATTCAGATTTCAACAGAAGACCTGAGTTGCCTGTATTAAAGCAGGACCGCGCGTCCCCTACTTAGCTTTGCGTACAAGAAATTGACATCGCGTTTCAAAACAGTGGCCTGAATTACGTCTTCCGTAGGCTTATAGTTTTGCACTTTCGTATTCCCATTCACAGCCATCTACATATACTCTGCGCAAATCTATTAACGATATTATCCTATTCGGAAGTAATGACAGACATTTAGGTGCGGAATTCGTCATGACTATGATTTTGGCTTGAATCGAATTTCACTCAGTCATCAACTATCTTCCCCAAAGCCGACCCAGAGCTTTGTACGTGTAAACATGCAGATTAAGTAAAACGTATTTAATGCTACCAGTGGATAAAACAATTTATAAGTAAAACCTGAGACGTATTCATGGCACCTTAGCATTTTTGGAGCGCACAATTCCTGAGCAGGTACGGCATCTTATTCACGGGGGTTTCTGAGAGAAAACAGGGTAGCGCGACCCAGACTTGTGCAGACATTTCATTTAGCACAAGATCGCATGTAGTACAGTGGCACCGATTCCCCTGTCCTCATTATAACCCTAATCCTTACGTCAACGGTAATCCCTATAGCCCTAACCATAGCCCAACCCTAACTCTGATCTCAACTCCCCTAGTCCTAACGTGGACACCGACACTAGGCCTGGCCCTAATCCCTTTCAGGTTAGGACACGACCACTTGTTATATTAAGATTCACATCTCCGCGCACAATCATCAGATTTTTATGACGTCTGATTTGCTCACATTCTTCTTCAGAGCTGAGATTGCGTTTTCATCAAAAACGACACCTGGAAATGGAGTACTACGCTTCCCAAGACCTTTCCTACTTTACGCATCTTTTGAAGTTCCGTTTTGGAACTGATCTTTTAGATTTCAGGATATGGATTTCGTCTAAAACGTATGCAAATGACCGCCCGAAATGTCGCAGTTCTGTAGAAACTGTGCATAAAATTTGAAATATTTTGAATACCATCAGGAAAATATGACCAGCTGAAGACAATCACAGTCACTTGACAAATAATATATGTCAGACAGGGCAGTCCTAGGTTCAAAAAGATTTCATTCTGGATCGGAACGATTCCGTTTAAGTGCATCTGCGTGCGGAGACAAGCCATTTTGAGCCAAACTAGGAGCACGCCAAGAAGAAGTAGTTCCTCTATGGGATTGACTTATCAGTAACCTGTCAAACACGGCTTTTGAACTTAGGTGACGTCGCACAAAAGACTACTGCTTCGGAGTGCGTATGACTTATTGGTCCTGAACCCAATGTAATTGTGCGAATAAGTGACTGGGCCGCTTTTAGACATTCCCGTTCTCCGTTAAACGTAACAGTTGAAATGACGTCAGACATTCTCTGCTGACGAACAGCAATGCCCCGAAGAGAGGCTCGACATGTTGCCAGAAAATCCCGAGAGAATACGTGCCTGGAGATGTGTTTGCACACATGAACTTCACACACGGTCTGCAACGAGCTTGCTCGCGAAAGAGACTAGCGGTTCGCCATCCGGAGACTCAAAATCACTGTCTCGTCTTCAAATGCCTGAACCCTGACATGTGCCACATGAAGGGAGCTCAAATATCCATTCCGTTCTCGCACTTCGCCACCAAACGCTCCACCGTATTCTCTGCTTGGCGCAATTCCATCCGAAGATTCCTCACCTCTAACGGCGTTACTGATGATAGTGGATGTGAAGATATGATAGCGACTGAACTGAGCGGTTTCAAAAGACGCGTTCGTCACCAGCGTCACCACTTCACCCCCCTCTTTTTCACGATCAACACCCCATCGGTCATTAAGGATGCGGAAGCAGAAGAGACCGGAGAGACTGTTGGACCGGTAGAAAATCTGTTTCTCCTAACCCAACCAAGCCGGCGTCACAAATGTAGTTGAGACAGCTAGACGGGATAAAATGCACTTTCTGAGTGATTCGCCATATTAATAGCACAAGTACTAGCTAAAAAGCTCGGACAAGTTTTTCATTAATTTTGTGCAGTCGTATGCCGTAGGCGAGACTGACTTGGCACACCGGTGCGTTTTCCAGAGTCTTCAAAGTGCTTTCTAATATGCACGCTGGCTTTTAACGTTCTTCGAGTCTAGAGGGGTTTATTCCGACGGATTTAACCCATGTACTAGAAAAAATGGGATCGAAAATAGGAGTACATTCCAGTAAGCACATGCTTGAGAACTCACGGTTGGGCCGAACCCCTCGGACCTGTGTCATACAGTGCGACAAAATCGGCGGATCACTTGTCGGGGTTCAAGCTAGTACCTGCACTGCCAGTATGGTGAATCACACGGTATGGCTATGCTAATTACAGTCCGTCCGTTTGTGGTTATTCCACAAAAGCTAATGAAATTCAACTCAAGTAGTCGGGGTAAAATTCGAGCAGAAACTACAAAAGTCTGTTCCGCAGAATTTCCTCCATAGTTGCGCACTAATCCCCAAAGAAATTAAGGGTGTCAGCTAAATGTTCTTTCGACAACGAATGCAATTCAAAAATGGACGCCAGTCTGGTTTCCTGTGTGTAGACTTCTGCCATAATTGGAATATGCTGGCGAGGACATTTTCAAAGTGAGGACGATGCTTCATAACACTCTTATTCGCGTTACGATATGGGCGACCTAAACATTGCCACTATCTATTAAGGTCTCACACGGAGCTCACTAAAGCCAGACTTTGTCACAAAAGACCTAAAAAAGTGGTCAATCCTATAAATAGCAGTGCTTCCAGCACTACGGGAAATCAGCGCTGTTTTACAGGATCAAATTTTTAGCATAAAAGTAGCTCGAGAGATCCAGGTATGCTGCCGAATACGCGAACGCACCAAACTTCCTGCGGGAAATTAATTGCTCTGAAGAACAGTGTTGATGTACGCTATCGTCTATTAACTCAAACAAATATAAATAATTTAAACGTAGCAGTAAACGCCAGTATCTAGTCATTTGGAAGGCACGCCAAAGTTGAGTAGAATCCCGCAAAATTTGGGCTCAAGAGTTCCTGGAGCGATCGCTATTTCCTCTAAGAATAACGATTTACGAGAGAATTTAGCGACCGTGATGGTAGCCAGTTAGATTACTACAAAATTACCACTGGCTGCCACACCAACAGGCAAGATCCGGAAGCCCAAACTCCCGGGTGTTGCTTGGCAACCAACAGCAGAATACTAGGGTCGAAATGTAAAGCTGCTTTTTAGATCCTTTTGTTTGTTGAGTAGATGCATACGTTCCTGTTTTATATGCAAGCCGGATGACGATTGATTCTACACCCACCTTAAAGAGGTGACAAACTCTGGGCTAGAAAATAATGGAGGTTCGTCGGAAGGTGGGCAGAAAAAACTGTAGGCCGTATACGTGGCATCTAGTAAACTGCACGCACGAAGAGTGCCGTACATACCAAAGATTCCGACAAAAGCGTTTCTGGAAAAAATTGCCGTCAGCTCAGAATAACTACGATAGATCTGACTTTCGAATACAATTTCTTAATATGAGAGAGACTTTCCTTATTTTATGCAGAATAACATTACCGACGAAGACAAGGGAGGCTGGAATGGCCATGTCTGGCTTGTAGTCAGCCAGTCATACCCAACCCCGAATTGTGGAACACCTGGGGCTCGATCCCTCAACCTGTTGGTTAGAAGTCCAACGCCTCTAACCAATGGGCCATGGGCTTGTTGTCCTGTCGGAATGTACAATGGTAGAGAGGCGCTCACCGATTCTGTTACGGAACTCACTCGTACCGTTGTGCCTTTTGGCTCTCTCTCTCCGTGCTTACCCTGTAAGGTTGATTAAATTGCGAACAGCAGCAGTTATCATCGTAAAAGCACACATTTCTGCACATCGATTCAGCGGATTCTGCGCCTGTTTGACGTCCAGCATGCAGCATTTATGCGAAGAATCTCGCCCTCATTGCAAGGTCATCAAGAAGACCAACACTTGAGGTGACCTCTGGTTGGATGGCCGTCAAGTGTTAAAGAACATAGCCTATCACGTTGTAGAAAAGTGCCTTATTACGAACACTGATCTTGATGGTATCACTCAATTAATCGTTAGCCCGTAGTGTGTGGGTCGCGTGAGTGGTATTCATGAGTGACCTTCAAGACTTCGGATAGCACTTACGCCTTACATTTTGTTTACTGACGAAAAACACGAGAAAAGGACGGTCAACTGAAAATATCGATTGACTTGAGGCAGTTTGCAATTTCCCGAAAGGTTTTAATGTAAACGAACTTCAGAGTATTATGGCAGATTACTATATTTTTGTAGCCGCCTCTGATATTAGCGACTTTTCAATTTGTACTGAAATATGCTGTCCCAAATTGTACCCCGCAGTCCGTTTCTGGAATCGCTTGTATTATCTCCAAACGGCATGCACATGCTATTATTTATAAAGTAAACCAAAAACGAGGAAAAAGCAGAATGCTAACAATTGTTTATTTTTCTGTCACCAACCGAAACTAGCTGAACTGTTCAAACTGATAAAATCTTGGCAACGGCACTTCATGTGGCCCTACCGATAGAACAGGGAGAAATGACGCCTCTGACGCTTATGCTCAGCTCTAAAACCTTAACTCCAAATTTTAATTTAATACTTAAACATATCCCCAAGCCTAACCGTATCCACAAACCTAAACATGATTCTTAAATGCGATTCCAACACTAATCCTAACCTCAACCCTTAAACCCAAACATAGCCGCAGTCCTAATCCTGGCTTTACCTGCTGATATTATGGTCAAAATAGCACTCACGTTAACTACACAAGTAGGTTACGAGTGAGGACCAGGGAACGGATCAATTTCAGAGTTAATATTATTGTATGAGTTACTGCCGATAGAGGCGAATAGACGAGCTCCGGGAAGCATTTCAGAAAAGAAAATAATCGCTGGAACAAGAACTTTGTTTACCTGACGCGTCGGATTCCCGCGCGAATTCAGATACAGTCGCAGGAAGGGGCAGTAGATGAACAAAGGCCGCAGTAGCCCGGTGAACACATGTCCACAATAATTGGCAGTACTCGCGTTCATGGCCGGAAGTCGTATTAGGTGCGATGATTGTCTGCCGGTCTATACCCGAGTCGTTAGTGGCCATGATTTCATCACCGTTGTTAGTTTTTGGCATGACTATTGCTCAACTGTTGGGCTAGCTGTCACCGAAACTGTTGGTCGAAGTTGGCGTTGCACACAAGGCGAAGGCCGAAAGATTCACAGTCACGGTAGGAAACATCTGGAGGCGTTTCCTGGATCGGACGCAATTGCAGGCAAAGCAACTTCTTCAGAGAAACTGGGAAATTATTTCGAACTTGAGGGCCCAGACATGAAGCGATAGTCAGGAGGAATGACACTAGCTCTCAGAGCGGGAACTGACTACACCTTCACGTTTGGCGAGGTCAAAATCCTCACAAGAGATGCGAGCTGCTTCACTCATGGTTTTCCGGCCCACAGTCAATTAGCAAACACAGTGACCTTCCGCCTCCATATTTCGTGTTGGCATTTTGCCTGGGCTGAATAACTGGCAAGGAGGGCAGGGTGCCGGAGGCCAACAGTTCCGGCGACAGAGAACTAATTGTCGAGTAGACGTCATGCCAAGAATCAAGAACGGGGATGAAATCACGGTCATTAACGACTCGCATGTGGACCAGCAAACAATCATCGCACCCAATACGACCTCCAGCCATGAACGCGAGTGCTGCTAATTGCTGTAGGCATGTGGCTTCGGGACAAATGCGTCTTGTTAATACTGCGCTCTTTCGTCTACCAAGCATTTCTACTTTTGCCCCTGACGATGGGCTCGAATGAGAATACGAATCGTCAGGCCAGCAACCTTTCTGCTTCAGCAATCGCAACTTCTCTTTCGGTCTGTGTTATATTTCCCTCACCTTATAACGCTCTTTGTGATCTGTTGCCGAGCAAACCGCAAGAAATCATACCTAAATAAAATAATTAAGTGGACTTCAGTTAAACTGAATAAGTGGGGTCATATATGATACTGTCTCCTATGTCTTAAATAGAAACGAATCCAAATATTCAAGCAGGAGGGTCACACAGCCTCAGACAAACTGCTAAAGTTGAAAATAATTTTGCTGGATAAGACAGAATCAACATCGGTCTTTGAATACCCTGGACAGCATCTGACAGAACGTGGATTTTGGCGTGTATCCTTGATCTTTATACCTGTCAAATTCGGATTCCTACCACGCTTTCCTTCTTAGAATTATGATATTTCGGCTGGCCACACAGACAAGTCGCTGTCGGTATTGCACTAACCAGGTGGCAACGACTGACTTGCGATGGCCCCGGTTCGCCAGTTCATAATAAAATGGAAATGTGCGCATCTTGCCTTGCCATCAAGACAGCTAGGTGAACGCGATTTCTATGCTCTTATATGTATTCCTCATTGCAAGTTACGATAATTTCACCCTGCGGCCCAATTGGTTGGTCATCCGAAATAGTTTTTGAAAAAGACCCTGGTTTAAATTTAAAAAAACTAATAGGTGTTTTGGCAGATTTAGACAATTCATCTGACCGATTTGGGGAAAGCTCGGCGTCTCTGTAGAATACGAACCCACAACAGTAAGGGCATAGCTATAGTACAGCCCGAACGGGGCCGTGAATTTAGTGACATTTCGATCCAGCCGCCCGCGCTACAATGCAAACAATGGCAGAAAAATATAATCGCAACCTCACCGAATTCGCGTTTCTCTGCGTCATGATGACTCAGTCGTCGGGGTAGATGGGTAAGCAAGCACATTAAGTTGAAGGGTCGGATCTTATTTCTTAGCCGCACCTGCAATAGACAAGCCCCTGCCGCATGTCATATGGGACCAGCGATACTAGGGAGTTTAACGCTGACCCCTAATGCTAACTCCCAACTCTAACCAATAACCCTAACTCTGGCCCCTAACCATAACCCTAACCCCAACCGCTGGCCCTAACTCCAACACTTACCCCTAACCATAACCCTCATCCCTAGCACTGACCCCTAACAGGTGCGGCACAAAATATGATCTGACCAGTCGAAGTTCGTGCATTTTTGGTAACTGTAACATTCAAATGAACCGAAGAAGCTGCGTCGAAGTTATGGTAAAACTAAACGGAGGATGCGAAATTTCAAGTCATGGGATAATTGGGTTGGCTAAATATTTAACTACTGCCGTAATTATGTGTTACATGGCCTACACCAGTCTGCGACAGACTCGAGCAAGCCACTAAGAAGCTTCTTCGCAAAGCTATTGGTTCATTTTTTTACTTTGATAAACCCGACACATTACACAATGTCCCTACACGGTTGCTTGCTAACGAAGTGACTCGATGCTCCATTGAATCGAGGTCCAGACTACAAGGGCTCCTTCTTAACTAGGTCTTTATATCAAGTCCAAGACAGCATTTGTCAAGAGTTATGCCGTGGATTTTAGTCCTCGTAACCACTGCGCTTTATCTTCAGGTCAGTGCACATGAGAGAGAGCTAGAGAGTGAAAGAGGGAGGCGAAGGTGAAATCTATTCACTTGAGAGGAGTCGCTCACACCACCATGAAGCGTAAACAGCCGTGACTTTCGAGTTCGACAGTGAACAGGATTAACGGAAGATATAAATTGGTCTCACTCAGGACTGAAGGCCAGGCTGGAGTGAGGCCTTCTTAATCTGGTCAATATGATACTCCGGATTCCACGACATTTGAGAAACCTCTCTTTTTTGATGCCTGTCAGTGAAAGGACGGAGATCCGGACGCCTCAGGATAACGAGCATTTCATGTGTAAAAGGTGAATAAGCATTGCTTGCAGTATTTTGTTGCCCACGTGACTACGGCTTCAGCGAATAACTATCATAGGCAGGATGGAAAAATATAAAACTGCAAGATGAAGTCCTTTAAAGACAGGAGCTTTCCCTTATAAGATATCGAAGTGTCAGGAGTACGTCGGCTCTGTTTTAAGAACTAATCTTTCGGCATTCTGGGAGCTCTTCTCAGAGGAAGGCCACTTGTGTATATATCATTTCAATAAAAAGATAGGTAGTTCGGAGCAGGAGATTCGGTTAATTGTTTGTTATCAATAGTGTAGTTTGTCCAATGTGCATATTTACAATGGACTTCCAAACGGCCTTTTTAAAACCGAATTATGTTCCTCCTTCGAGCGTGGACTTCGAATAAGACGTAACTATCTACCGAATGAGCAAAAGAATGAATATTTTTAAATGCATGTTTTCCATGAAATATAATTGGACTTTTAGAGGCATAGACAATTAATGAGAAAATGCTTGCTACTTATATAGTCATTTTTTTACAGAGTGTGGTGTTTACATGCAGCCGGAAGGTGGTTCATTCGAAAGCAGGCACCCTTAGGTAACTGAAATATTATAGAATTATACAACAGAGTGACTAGTTTTACAACCCTAATTAATTTATCTCTTCGAAACGAAAACTCATTTCGGAATTTCGGTTGACATTTCATGATTTAGCCCACCTACTGCGCCTAGCCCCTATCTCTGCGGCTTTGCAGTTCTGTAGGATGATACACTCGCATTTATATGGACCTTGGCAAACAGTCTAGCATATGTTTGGCGTCAGCGGTCTACACGATGAGAATATAGCGGCTAGAAAATGACTCATTCCCAGAATGTTTTGTGTCGCATTCGCATCAGCGAACACTTCTGGCACCCTCAACCATAGCCGGCTGAATAGCGGACTCGTGATGTTAATGACGAACCCTTCGGCCTAGTTCATGACGATCAAAGACCCCAGGTTAGTAACTCACATTATCCAAAACGTAAGGTTTAGGTACGGTTGAACAAACTAGAAGTAGTCCTTGTTGTACACGATTAC